CCACCACACCCAGTCTTATTTGTTGTTTGTTTTTGAATTTTGAGATAAAATTTCACTAAATTGCCTAGGCTGGAATTGATCTTGCAATTCTCCAGCCTTGGCCTACAAAGTGTTGGCATTATAGGTGTGTACCCTCACATTTGGCCCCTAGAAACAGATCGAACATTTATTAGTGTCCATTGAAGAGTTCTTTTCTCTCCCCTGCACACCTACAAGAAGCTTCTGTGGAGCCTCACAAACCTAGCAGCAGGTTCCCACAGGAGGTGCCAATCACCTAGCATGCCTCTGTTGTGTATCTACTAAAAGCCCTACACAGATGTAGAAGACACTTAGAAGTGTTGCAGTTTTGGTTATAGGCCAGCCAGCTCTGACAGTGAGGCTAGTGACCTGCAGTGGCCTGTTTGCCCATCTATTTGCAGATATCTGTGAATCAAAGAATGGGCATGTCCCTTATGTTCACACCAGTTTCTAAATTCTTTTTTTTTTTCCGGAACCGGGGATTGAACTCAGGTCCTTGCGCTTGCCAGGGAAGCGCTTATTCCACTGAGCCATCTCCCTGGCCCCCTGGTTTCTAAATTCTGAGGTGCTCAAAGGTTCTCTACCAGAAAGGCAAGCGGGTTTGGATGCAGGGATAGAAAAGGATTAGGAAAGGGCCCCATTGTGGAAAAGCCAGGCTCTCTCCCTGGAAAGGTCCGTTGAGGGGCTGGAGATGCAAAAAAGTAGTGGTGGAGCACTCACCCAAGCAGGCATGAGGCCATGGGTCTGACCCCTAGTGGTGGTGGAAGGGGGCTGGAAAAGTCAGGGGAGGCCTCAAGAGAACACTGCCCTCCCAGAGTACTGAGTTCAATACCTGGTTCCACCAAAAAAAAAAAAAAGATTATATGACTATTTTTGTTATGAAGATCTCTGGTATCTCGGTACAAAAATAAACTTTTAACTTGTAAAGTATCATTTTTTAACTTTTAAAACATATTTAGGGGGGGAACTACCCACTCGGGCCCCCCTCCTGTCCCTCTCTTGGACAGCTTTCTTCCTCTCAACAAATATAATCTGCTCATAAAAAAAAAAAAAACATATTTAGTACAGAGTCAACACAGTTTCACCGCACAGATCAGACTCCCAAATGCTAGGATTATAGGTGTGCACCACTGTAGGCTCATGCCCCAAGGGCTGGGCCAGCATGGCAGGTGGTGCTGGGGATTAAACCCCAGTCCCTGCACTTGCCTAAGGAGGCACTTTAGTCTGCCGAGCTATTTGGCCAGCCCTTTATCACTTATTTTTGTACTGTTCTCTAACACAAACAGTACAAAGGCACTGTGCCTGCTTACAATGTGCAAGGCCGAGTTCAATCCTTAGTGCAAAAAAAAAAGAGGATACTGTGGTTTGGTATTTTTATTTTTCACTACTACCTGGAGGCAAACAAACAGTATGAAGAAGGAAATAATTATCTCCCTTTCCTAATTTTCCATAATTTTACTATATCATCATTGGTTTGAGACTGTCACATAATTATGCTACTCTGGCTAGGGGTAGTAAAACCAGAATCCAGCTAAACAATAAAAAAGTCTTTTCTTTTTTCCTGTTTCTGGAAGACAATTCTTCTTTACCCCTCATAGACCAGCAGTAGGCATGAGTAGTTCTGGTTTAGTTCCAAAGGAGTCATTAAACTGAGGTTATTACAGCTCTTGGAAACCAAACTAGGAGGCTGATATGAATTGGATTTGCTTTGATGAATAACATTTATACTGAATCCATCTGACATACTGATAAAGTTGAAATAAATATGTCTGTGTCCATCAGCAAGTTCAGTCAACTCACTGGGATACCATATCCAAGTATTTGACACATGAGTTGAGAAAAGTTTTCAACTAGCAATAATC